GCTTATCTAGGCTGTCAGCATGCAGGATGCGGGTCGGTAAGTACATGTATAAGTACACACAGACCGTGCGGCCTTGGAAGCCTGCCAAAGCACTAGACCTTCAAAAAAAAATCTCAGTTGAAGGCGCTATAGCTGCTATATTTGCTTCAAAATCCACAGGCGGGCAGAGGTCCTGTCCTTTGCAAAAGAAACTTTGAAAGTGTGCCGATGTTCGAAGCTCACTGCACAAACCAAGACTTTGAGCCTTTTTGAACCGTCTGATGATGTGAGAACTCTGCCACGCTTGAGCCTTCAAGTTGGGAAAGAGAAATAAGACATGCATCGCAGCATTAATTAAGACTCGTGCGAGTCGAGAACTGCGGGAACGCAGTGGAACGGATGGACGAACTACGATTTCCGGGGGCCCCAATGAGCTGGGAAGCCACCGCCGACGCAGCGCTAGCATTACGCCGGGGAACGAAGCACAAACGCAGCGAGAACGCGGAGTGTATTTAAAAGGCTCTCGTCTTGGAACTGCAAAACTGGGAACAAAATGAACAGCCGCTTTGAACAGCCTGGGTTCGGCCAATGAACAGGATGGGGCAACTGCACCATCTTCAGCTGTGCTGACCACGATGGAACACCATTTCGTGGGAACGCCTTGTATGCCAGCTGTGTGTTGAAATCCTCTGCAGTGAACACGCAGATAGAAATCAAGAAGGAAAGAGTGCTGTTCAACAATTACATTTTGTTTCAACTGTTTTCTTGGCTCTACTCTCTTTTCACGCTTTTGTCTGAAAATCAGGATGGAAGTCTGTCTGCGTGCTCATTTGCTTGGAGTTCACAGCTTTACTATGAACTTGATAGGGAACGTTCAGGAACCTGCCACGGGAACGGCGGTCTTCTTCAGCTCCCATTTCAATGAGAGGGAATTCTAGATAATTCTAGTGAGTCTAGTCATGTCTAGTCCCTGTTCTTTTTATTTCAGATTAACGGCAGCCAGTCCCGACAATGTCAGGGTCTGGCCTGGCCGTCACATGCATACAACTTTCCCGGCGCCCTCATTGAGTTTGAAGTCCTTCTTGGTCAAATCATTGCTCCTCCAAAAATCTCCAAAAATGCTCAAGTTCAAGATAGTTGAACTCTTCAAAAATGAATGTTCAGTGGCTCTTCAAGAGTTGCTCTTTCAGAAGGCAAGGCATTTTCTGAATTCACAGCATATTCGCAGCTATTTTCCTATTCTCCATGACTTTCACAGCCACGGCCAAACAGAAGCAGGCCTCGAACCCACATCTTTTCCCCAGCTGGACGAAACGTCCTGCACCTCACCGCAGTCGACAGCGATAAAGTTCCGATAAAGTAAGACATGGAAAACGAGATGAAAACGAGAATCAATCCTTAAGAATCCATGAGAATCATCGAGAATCGCTTAACTCCGGTTGTCAATCTTGCATCATCTTGCATCACTATGTGGGTTCTGTTGACCCTATCCCTGTCTTTTGCTCGTTCATATCATTACTTATCATTGGCTGAGCTTTCATAAGCATGCCGACACTTGCAAGACGTTCGATTAGGGATTCCATCTGTGCGTGTTTGCAGTTCAGATTGCATGGGGAAGATGTAACAGTTTAACATAGTTTAACATAGTTTAACAGGTCTAGGATCTCTCCGCAGGATTCATTTCTTTTAGTCGTCCAAGGCGGAACATCCGCTTTCCCTGCCAAAAAAATGCAGCGTGGGTGACACAATTCTTAACCATTTTAAACCACACACCTTACATTACCTTACTATGATTTACTATGTAAATTTGAAGGAAGCCTCGGCAAAATTCACGAGATGCCCTGCCTTCTGGATGCCTTTGATTGACTCTACTCGAAGAACAGCTTGTTCCCTGGGGACAAAGGACAAATACACCGCCTTTGTGCCGCTGTTCCGCCATGTTCCGCCAACCTGGAGCCCCGCCTCAATAGCTAGCTCTTCTGGCCTTGGAGGTGCTACGGGCTGTATTGCCATCGTGATGGCCGGTCATTGGTTCATGATGGTTCATTATGGTTCATTATGGGTCATTATGGTTCATTATGGTTGATTATGTTCATTGTCCATTTCTGCCCCACAAAACATAATTCACATCATTAAAGTTAAAATCTGAGAGTTTGCAGATCTGCTTGCCGTTCTTGTTCTGGATCTTTTCAGAGTGCCAATCCAACCAGACAACCCATAGACCGGATCAAAAGGTCCAATGAAAGCACCATGGACTATGATGATTGCTCAACAAGGGGGCCCTCAGAGGAAATCAGCTAGGTACATCTACGTACGATCTGTCCATGGATGCTGCTAACGTCCCAAACCATGCGAGACTTCAGTGCAACCAGGGCACTGGTTGCCGCGTAGTCACAATCAGCGGATCTTTGATCAGCTTCACGAGCTCTGCCCAACTCTCCGCAGTCTTGAGCCAAAAAGGTGCTGAGCAGTCTGAGCATTCCCGAGGCCAAATCTGAGGGTCCAGTAGAAATTGCTCAGTACGTTGCCCAGTCGAACGCTAAGTTGCTGCTGAGTCAATGAGAGGCCACAAAACATCACGAAACTATCCACAAGCTGGGGCCACAAACGTTTTCTTCGTGCACCAGGAGGCGGTGCAAATGCCTGCTGCACACGAGCAGATTATGTACTTCTTTGTCCGTTGATAGGGTTTAGGACTCAGTTCAATGTGGCTCGAATTCAACATCTTCGTCACATTTTCTCTCGCGCTTTTGGAAGATCTTGGGAGCCCTTCTTCAAAATCTCTACTCCTGCCATCTCAAACCTTTAGAAGCCACAGCTGGACAAGTCTCTAAGTATGGACTTTGAGCCCTCCCACATCCTCAAAATACATGGTCCTACAGTCCTACATTCTTCAGGATGCTGCGCGAGGCCTCCTGCCAGTAGTCAAGGCCTTTGCAAAGGACTGCTACCTTGGCAGCTCTGAGCACATTCAATTCGCATCAATTTGGCATTTTTCCAATTGACCTGGCTTGGCTGAGCCTAGGCTTGGCCAGCTTGGCCAATCACAATTTCTGACTAAACACACAACTGTGACAAACTGTGAGCCCAACCAGCGCTACACATCCTGAGGCGGCCAGGAACGGAGCCAAGGGCGAGCGCCGCCTCGAATGCATCAGCTTTTCAAGCCCTCAGAAAGAAGTGCATTTGCCTTTTTCGTTCTGCAGAATTCTGCAGATTCTTTGGATCTCACATCTTGGGGTCTGATCACGAAGACTCTTCCCCAAAGTTCTTCAACCATCATTTTTCGTCATTTTTCCCTGCATTTCCCTGCATAGATTGTCGCATCACCGTTGGTGCTAAGATGTGCCAACCATGTTAAGATAGACAATCTATGCAGTGTCGGCCGAATCTGTGCAGCCTCTCTGTTCGCTCCATTGCACCCCGCTGCCCCACTCTGGGTGAGGCTCGGTCCAAGCACTACAGAAAATCAATAGTTCAAGAACGCTTCATCAGATGAAGTCTCATGTATCAGTGGATCGTGTCACAAGTCTGAAGCCCAAGAACCAAATAATCCATCTTCCACTCTTCCAGTTTGGTGACATGTTCATAACATAGTGCAACGTAGTGTAACAGACCACTACCTGTTTGTGGGGCTCTGAAATCCCAAGAGGTAGGAGTAGGAGGACCTTTGCTGTAGCTTGCATAGGTGAGTTTGTGATGGGAGCTAGCTATTTCCAAAAAGGCCGAGCAGGTAATCGAAAATGTCCTACCATCTATGATGTGTATATAATATGTATATATTATATACTGTAATTATATATATTATATACTGTAATTATATATATACTGTAATTATATATATATACACAATCCATCTGTATATCTGGTCATTTCCGTGATGTCAACCCAAACTTTGCTTCGTGGGGTCGCTCCTTTTTTTGGGCGATCGGTCAGGCCGGCGACAACTGTCGGGAGTAGAAAGACTCAAAACTATCTCTGCTTCCCTGGACGCCAAGAGTCCAGTCGAACTCGGCCTTGACGCCGGAGGTTCAAGAACTCAGAATGCTCCGCAGCTGTTTTTGGCAGGGATATGATGGGATATGATGGGATATGACTGATATGAATTGATGTGAATTGATATGACATGCTATAGTAACTATACTATAGGTTTGGATAGGTTTTGAGGACGGCTAGCGCCATTTGTCGCGTGTCTCAGTGTAAACCACTATGATCACTATCGGACTCTGGGATATGCTTCTCAGACTGATGCGAAACATTGCGAAACGTGAATTCAAAGTTCTCTGGCGAGGAAGATTTCCTGAGAACCCGACATACAGTACATGCAACCAGCCAAGTCAAAGGGGCTCAAAAACGAATCGGCTAAAACCTGGGCAGCAGAGTCAGAGGCGATGTCACTAAAGCTCACGTGGGAGCTGCAAATTGCGAAGGTCACAACATTCAGAGGTTCAACATGGCTCAACAAATCTCAAGAAAGAAACATAGATCCTGATGTCCTTCCAATGCTTCTTCCAATACCTACAGTGCCCAAGCATAGCTTTTGCGGTCCCTCTTTCACATTGAGGTCCTAGAGAACGCCGTCGGGGGCAGTGTCGGCAATGCACAGTAATTCCATAAAAACGGCCATCTTCTCCTTCCCCAGGTGGGCACCCGAACGAAACCTGTACACACCCCAAGCTTGACGGGAAAATTCTGCGCCTTCAGGACTGGCCGCTGACCAGCGAAGAACGGAATGAAACCTATGAAACATGTAAAGACCTCAAGAGTACTTCTCCGGCCCTGGGTTGCCAACTGATACAATCCAAAAAGATGTACAGTGCAGAACGGCAAAGCAAAGGACCTTGGCCCAAAGATATGCAAACCTTCCGGTGTCCGAAGCCATTGAGCAATTGCTCTAGGTATGACATAGCCGACACTAGCATCCTACGTGGCAAAAAACTTTCACATGCCATGACAGCAATGTCCAGCATGTTCAGCAGTCTGGCAAGCCCGGCAAAAAACGATGCACATTGCGCCTTCTGTCATTGCCATACCTGCCAAACAAGTGGAAACTCTTATCAATCCTACGGCTCACCCTTTACGTCAGATTCCATTGGGTCACTGATTCAGGAACCAAAAAAGATTGTTTTCCCATGGATGGCCCTCAATAATATCAAAACCTCAGTGATTTCACTTACATTTTCCCAACACTTTCGAACATGTTCGAGCCTTCTCCTCAGTCTGGTTGTGGGCCTCGCCTTGGATGTCGGACCAGGATGGCACTGCCCAAATGCTTGGGCGGATGCGAAAAGATTTGGAAAACTTTGTTGCCTTCCACGCAAACCCCACTTAGACCTGATCGTTGCATATTGGTGCCACTTCTGTCCTCTCTACTTCCCTGGCTCAGCTTCCGGCAAGAAATTTTTACCTGGCCATCGGCCATAGCTCCGGTCAAAAGGGAACAGAGCATGGGAGCATGTGGGTGCACAAGGTCACAAGATGTCACAAGGCACACGGTTTCAAGTTTTCCCGGTTTTCCCAGCTATTGTGACTTCTCAACAGTTTCTCTTTCCGCGCCTTCGCCATGATATCCAGCGTTTTCCGGGCCCGACAGGGGCGCGCCCTGCAGTGAGGTACCAAACTTCAAGCACAGACTCCAAGCACAAACTCCAAGCAAAGAAGAGAAAGTAATGTTGGTTTCAAATTTGATTTGAAACCAAATTGAAATGTAAAGGAAACCGCTTTATGAAAAACGTTCATCAATTTTCTTTGTGATTTTTTTTTTGGTTCTTCAGCGTCAGTTGGTATCCGGGTGTCTGCACTGCTGCTCCGCAGGACGCGGTGCAGCTGCAGGCCTCAGGCACCAAGGCACCAAGGCACCAAGGCACCAAGGCCATGATATCCGTGTGGTTTTTTATGCGTTGAATCATGTTGAGGTATGAAATTATTACATATTATTACTTATCTTTGAAATAATTGTGTAGTCTAGTACATATATTGTAATATCATACATATATAATAATAATAATATATTTCAATAATATAGTAATATATAATATTAATATTATGATATAAAAATATAGTAATAGTATGATAATAATAAAATAATAATAATAATAGTATGATAGTGAAAAGAAAAAATGATACTATGTATATAATAATATGTAATAATATAATAATATAATAATATAATAATATAATAATTCAATAATATAATAATTCAATAATATAATAATATAATAATATAATAATATAGTAATATAATAATATAATAATATAATAATATAAGAATATAAGAATATAATAATATAATAATATAATAATAAAATAATATAATAATATAATAATATAATAATATAATAATATAATCATATAATAATATAATAATATAATAATATAATAATATAGTAATATAATAATATAATAATATAATAATATAATAATATAATAATATAATAATATAATAATATAATAATATAATAATATAATAATATAATAATATAATAATATAATAATATAATAATATAATAATATAATAATATAATAAAGTGATATAGTAATAATATAATAATACAATAATACAATAATACAATAATACAATAATATAATAATACAATAATAATTTAAGAATACAACAATATAGTAGTAATATAATAATGATATAGTAAAAATATAATAATACAAAAATAATAATATAATAATATGATAATATAACAATATAATAATATAACAATATAATAATATAATAAAAGAATATAATAATAATATATAATAAGAATATAATAATAATATAATATAATAATATAATAATATAATAATTCAATAATATAATAATTCAATAATATAATAATATAATAATATAATAATATAATAATATAATAATATAATAATATAATAATATAACAATATAATCATATAATAATATAATAAAATAATATAATTATAATAATATAGTAATATAATATCATAATATTATGACCATATAATAGTAATATAATAATAGTGTAATAGTAATATAGTAATGATATGACAATAATATAATAATATAATGATAATATAATAGTAATATTATAATAATGATCATATAATAATAATAGTAATAATAATAATATAACAATCAATAATATGATAATATAATATAACAATAATATTAAAATAATATAACAATAATATAATAATAATATATGCGCATATGTCATATGTGTATGTGTGTGTACCCAAATTACACATACCAATATAAACATACAACTTCTCTGGAGAACCTGGAGGTACAAGCGCTACCGAAATCACGGGATACGCAGTGTACTGTTCCATGGCTTGATGAAAGACACCAGTCGCTTTCGAATCTCTAAATCCAAGGCAACTTCACCAAAGTATCGCGACTTTGCATCAGATTGCATCAGATTTTGCATCCATTGCCCTTCAAAGGTCCAAAAGCATGGCTTCACTCGACGCCGCCATGGCACGGTGCCGTCGGCGACAAGTTCACCGGCCTCCCGAAATTCATCGAATGCAAAATTCCAACGCGATGAAATCGAAAGAATCTTGGTTTCCAAAGGAGTTTTTGGATACCGAGGTCTTCAGTCAGTTAGTGACACAATCGCTTTCAACTGGCGGAGAACATGTTCAACTTGAGGTCCGCACTGCCCAGTCTTGAGTGCTGACGTGAAAGACCTCGATGCTGGACAGTACAAAGCCAGAAAATTGCAGAAATCAAAAAGAAAACAGTAGTGTGTGTGTGTGTGTCGTTAAATTGTGTTGATTCAAGATCTGTGCACCTTGATTAACACAGGTACTGAGCAGGGCAAAACTTGTTTCTGGTTCATGCTAAAAACTTGGCCATTAAAGGCTTAGTCGGGGGCTGAAGTGATGTGCTGTCAAGTCTCCACAACTTACACTACATACTCTGGCGTCATTTTGTTTAATGACATCCCATACTTGCAACCTGTACAGAGATGCACAGAAGCTCAGGATCTAGTGGGAGAAAAAGGCTGTTCAAGAGAATGCATTGAGTGTCTGCCCGGGCAACCTGCCAGCAACTTATTGACTCTGAGTTGTGCATGGCAGGGTTCCAATTTGTTGTTTCGAGCTTCTTTGCCAGGGGCAATCTTTTTCTCTGACGCTGTTCGACATTGTTCTTTTGCAAAACTGGGGTGAAGTACCTGAAGGACCCCGGCAGTGAAAGGCGCAGGATGCGATTCATTAGTTTCAAGCAAAGTCCATTGATTTGCGAGTAATCTTCCACACCCCAGTTGCTTTAGTCGAGTTGTATTCTCTGCAGAGGGCCAACGTCGGATTCGGAAACTTCAGCGTCGGATTCGGAAACTCCCGGGCCCTCGGATTCGGAAACTCGTCGCCCGCCGGATTCGGAAGCAGTTTGTGTCAGCGAGTCTCAAATCCAGCCAATGACATTACAGCAGAAAAACGCTCTTTGGCAACTCTTCCAACAATCTCATTTCAGCTGAAAAGTGCAAGGAAGTCGATATCAATTCATGACGAGATATCATTGTGAAAGAAGTTATTTTCAGAGTATATATCTATGTTTGTTTTTTTCGCCTTGTTCATCTTCGCAAATGTGGTAGTAACCCAGTCTTTTTTGGACCGGTGACTTAGTCTGTCCTGAGGAATTTGTATGCTTTTTTTGGTTGTTTTTATGTTTTTGGCTGGTTTATTTGACTGGTTCATTGCATGTCCGCACAGTTCAGTGTGACTGGCAGCGGGAGAATGAAAATGGGAACAAATATCTTGAACTCATCCGCCCTCTGAGGGCACAGACCCATTTGCACAGAAAGTAAAGTTTGCACAAGTTTGCTATAAGTCAGTCGCACTGGGCTTCTTGCTGCGCCATCTGTGGCGGCTGTGGCAGTAACGTTGAACTCCTGAGGTCTTCTCGAAGAGTTTCACCACACGCCGGCGTTCAAAATCTTAGAGCCCCAACGGAACTGGCGGCGAGGCGGGGGCCCACGCGCGCCTCCAGTGCAACACAGCTGTGGATGTTGACATACGTTGACAAGCCAAACATTTTTCTGATTTTGCATAGTTGTAGGCGTACAATCTATAATACATTTAGTAGTGTGTGTATATACTATTCCTTTCTATGACTATCATGTACTATGATATATTATGATATACTATCATACATCGTTGTATACAGTACTAGATTGTGCCATCATATACTGTTAAGTGCTTTTAAGATACTATCATATACTGTACTGTCATATTACTATCATATACTATCATATGCTATCAGATACTGTCAAATACTATCATATAATATCATATAATGGGGTTTGACTTGGGAATCGATCCAGGCACCCCTGCCCTGTGTCGGCGGGTTGCTGAACATCTGACTTCACGAGCCTCAGTAAGTGCCATCCTTTCAGATCCCATAGGAGTTGAAAAAAATAAACCAAAAATATGGATAAATATATCACAATATGATATAGCATCTCATATAATATATGAATGATGTATCAATCTTAAGCATCCAATTGCAATTCAATGTGGCAAGGTTTTCAGGCCAAATAATCTTGAATTTTATTCCAAGAGGCCGGAGGATGGACTTGCCTGCCTCCCTTGGTTGCGCAGTTGTCAATGGTAGGACGACACGCAAAACTAGACACCTGGGACCACTCTGTAAGAGCAGATAAGTTTGCTGTTACATAAGTTATATCCTTAAACCAAATTGTCTTTTTAAAATGAACGCTACTGAGGGTTTCAGAAGTACAAATCCTGCAGCACCCTTTCAACAGACCAGCTGAACCATCCGCTGGCAGGTCTTGAAAAATCCCTCACAGTTGGATGAAATATGTCGACGGCAAGACCAAAAGTAGTATACTGCGATAGATTCATCTTGGTAAGGGTTGACCAACTGACCAACCAATCTTGATTCTTCCAAGATTCTGCCCTTGATCCACCATCAAGTGCTCATGCCTTGGTACACGCCATCTTCCATTCTGAGCCGTTTATGCAAAAAGCAATGGGATCTCCAAGAAGTTTTGGCATCAACCCATTCCCTGTGGATTCGGCATCGCGTGCTCTGGATGTTGGCCATAGCCGCGAGCAAAGCCCTGGGTTTCAATAGTGAACCCATAGGAAGGCAGGGGCCACAAGCATTTGACTTAAATACAAACTGATATCAAGAAGGACGGAATGCTACTGATGCAAGATATGGACACCTTCACATGATTTCGGGAGGACTCATGATGTTTCTCAAGCGACTCAATATGATGTTCATCTATGAATATTTAGAGCATTGTGAGCCTTGTCCATCGGTCCTGGCATCCAACATGCCTGCATTCTGACCGGTTTGGATTTCAAAGTGACAGATTTTTTTAAACAACTTTGGGACAGTTGTACAAAGAGTGATTACATGGTAGTTGTGAACCCATTATAATGACCATCAATGATCTACATCTATTCTATGTGTACTTGTTAAAACCAGACAAATAGTGCAAAGGAAACTGTATTGTTCCCCACATCTTTGTGTGGGGTTCTTGTTTTTGGTTGTGTACTCCCGCCGCGCCTTCCCGCCCGCCGCCCCACATGCTCACCAACAACTTGCTCACACACAACTTGCTCACACACAACTTGTCCACGCACAACTTACTCACACACAACTTGCTCACACACAGCGCCCGTCCAACTTGTCCACACACAGCTTACTCACACACAACTTGTCCACACACAACTTGTCCACACACACCTTACTCACACACAACTTGTCCACACACAACTTGCTCACACACAACTTGCTCACACACAACTTACTCACACACAACTTGCTCACACACACAACTTGTCCACACACAACTTGCTCACACACAACTTGCTCACACACAACTTACTCACACACAACTTACTCACACACAACTTGTCCACACACAACTTACTCACACACAACTTACTCACACACAACTTGCTCACACACAACTTGCTCACACACAACTTACTCACACACAACTTGCTCACACACAACTTGTCCACACACACAACTTGCGTGGCAGGCGTGGCACTTATGGCACTGGACTGGCTCCGGTGGCGCGCTTGGGCCGCAGTGGCCGCCCGTTGTCACCGCGGCTGTTGGCGTGGCAGGCGTGGCACTTGGTGACATCGACCGTCACTTTGCGTGGCAGGCGTGGCACTTGGAGACATCAACCGTCACTTTGCGTGGCAGGCGTGGCACTTATGGCACTGGACTGGCTCCGGTGGCACACTTGGGCTGCAGTGGCCACCCGTTGTCGCCGCGGCTGTTGGCGTGGCAGGCGTGGCACTTGGTGACATCGACCGTCACTTTGCGTGGCAGGCGTGGCACTTGGAGACATCGACCATCACTTTGCGTGGCAGGCGTGGCACTTATGGCACTGGACTGGCTCCGGTAGCGCGCTTGTCTGGCGTGGCAGGCGTGCACTTGGTGACATCGACCGTCACTTTGCGTGGCAGGCGCGGCACTTGCGGCACTGGGCTGGCTCCCACACCATCTTTGACCCACCACTTTGTCACACACCATCTTTCACACACCGTCTTTCACACACCATCTTTCACACACAACTTTGCCACACACCATCTTTCACACACCACTTTGTCACACACCACTTTGTCACACACCACTCTGTCACACACCATCTTTGTCACACACCATCTTTCACACCACTTTGTCACACACCATCTTTTGCCACACCATCTTTCACACACCATCTTTGTCAGACACCATCTTTCACACACAACTTTGTCACACACCATCTTTGACACACCATCTTTCACACACCGCTTTTTCACCCACCATCTTTGACACACCACTTTGTCACACACCATCTTTCACACACCATCTTTGACACACCATCTTTGACACACCATCTTTCACACACCATCTTTCACACACCCCTTTGTCGGACACCATCTTTCACACACCATCTTTGACACACCATCTTCGACACACACCATCTTTCACACACCGCTTTGTCACCCACCATCTTTGACACACCACTTTGTCACACACCATCTTTCACACACCATCTTTAACACACCGTCTTTGACACACCATCTTTCACACCACTTTGTCACACACCATCTTTCACATACAACTTTGTCACACACACAACTCTTCACATACAACTTGTTTTAATTCTCGATCCTCCACCACCTCCTTTGTCTTTCCTTCCTTCCCCGCCCCGCTACAACATTTGTTGCCCATTATTGGAAGACGTTGACATGTGGGGTTATCCGGTCCTTTAATTTTTTTGGCCTGGCCTCTGTGCCGCTTTCGCGGCCATTCCTCGACTCCTGCATAGCGTCCAAGAGATTTGCACATTGCACGCCCTATTGATCTACATGATCTACTTATGATCTACTTATGATCTACTTATGATCTACTTATGATCTACTTATGATCTACCAAACTTCAGAGCGAAGTGGCTCCACACTTTGCAAACCCGCAAAGCCGCCGAAGCGCACGTTTAATCCCTCACCTGACTTGTCAAATTGGCCGCTGACCCGTTTGCCGATCAGCTGGCTAGGTCGCTAGTGCGTCGAGAGATTTTGCTTGGCTAAGTCGCTTGCTCACGATGGGTTTTCACGCAGGAAGAGGCAGGAAGTGAACCAGAATATGCTCCGTCGAGGCGAACACAGGAAATCGAAGGCTGAAAAGTGGGCAACTTGACCGGGATGCAAAGTTTTGCAGTTTTGGACTGCACATTGCAATTCTTTGGCCTACCGAGGGTCACAAATCGCACTTGGATGGCTTCACAAACTTCTGTCCAGAAGCCTTGCTAGCACTTTTGCCAGTACATGTCAATGTTGTTGTGTTTTCTGGTTCAGAGTTCCAAATCCACTTGGAACAGCTGCTAGCAATACCATTTATATATTAGTACGTCCAGCTTCAGTTGTCCTAGGTTTTGTGCGGATTCAATCACAGGCCATTCACCCAACCCATTCATTCATGATTCGAGAAGTCAATTGCACTCAACCAAGAAGTAACTAGGAAGGATTTTCTTTGACTCTCCCAAGATCTGTCGATAGGGACCTTCAGGAGCGCAATATTGTGGAAGAGGTGCCGATGAACGCAAGACATGCTCCGCAAACCAGTCGCTGTTTTTCTGTGGGTCCACGCATTTATGCAAATCACTTCAATATACTTCATAACAAATCAATGCATTCTGACAAATCTGACAAATCTGACAATGATTTGGCCCAGTCCCAGTGATCCTTCAGTGATCCTTGGGAAATTCAAGTGATCATCCCAGGGGATCCCAGCACACTCCTTGGCGTGGCGATGGCCGCGCATGGCCCCGCCATTTGGGGCCTTAGAGCTCTGAGAAGATCTGAGAAGCAGAAATCCAGCAGTCCAAGTGTGACATGTAGAGAAGATCTGTGAATGTAGAGATGATCGCTTTCTGGTTCCATGTTGTTCCCTCTTCCTGGCCCACCTCCAAGTAGGCGCCAGTGTCTGCGGCTCGTACTCCAATATGATCCTATGGGAAAAGGCTCTGCTCTTGTGACCCGTGGTGGCCCATGGTAGCTCCACACAGCCTGACTACAACAGTGCCCGGCAGGTTGCCGGTAATAGGATGTGGTGCTAGAAGAGGTCATTTGTTTTGGGGGGATGAACCGGTGAACCTTTGTTGTGCCCATTGCACTCCAGCCCTAGCTGGCCCTAGCTCCTGTTCCTCCCCGCATCCCTGGTCCTGATGTTCATTCGTGGCCTCGCCAAGCAAGCCGGCTTTCGTCAGCATTTGCAACATTTGAATAAGTATTTGGACTTTTTTCTTTGTGGAGCAGAGAAAGAAAAACAGAACAGGGGACTGTGGGAGTGCAATTGTTCTGCAGCTATGACTTAGTTTTAAAATCCTCAAAACTTTTCTAGTCACAAACCACACATGAATTAGCTTGTGAAACCCTTACCTACGCTAAACACACAAAAAAAAACTAACCCTATGTTCCAGCCACTCATGGGCCCCCATTGACTTGTTGTTTGTTGGTTTTATCAGGGTTTTTGCAAACCAATGGAACAAACAAGCCAATTGAGGTCCATGAGTGGTTGGGACATATGGGTAAGTTTTTTGTTTAGGTGTTTTATCGAACTTTTGGCTACTGTTCCCAAAAAGTGACAGTAACCACTGTCCATGTCTACTCAGCCACATGTCATGGACATCATTCAGGTGTGCATGTTTTGCTGATTTTCTCATGGTTTGGGTACCCTTCCCAGAAAGTTAGTTGAAACCATATAGGGAAATACAACATAGCCAAGACTTGAAAATAGAATCAGCACACAAGTTGTAGCATGGCCTTTCAAGGTCCTCCAGTACATGCCTTGTACGCCAATATGTGTTCTAATAATATGACATTCCTTGCATAAAGCCATATCAGTCCTTGCACAAAGTCGCATCATTTTGTCAGTCTCTTTATATAAGGGAGTACAGCATTTATTTGAAAGGAATCCAAAGGCATTTTTCAACGAGACAGCTGTGCGAAGTTCTTTGAAAGAGGTACAGGAATCTATGGAAGAAGGACATCATTCTTTCAGAATAGAATCTCTTAAGTACCTATTTCAAATGACTATGGTATTCCTGAAAGAAAGTTTTACAGTGGAGGGGCAAAGGGGGCCGAAACGTGGGTTTCCGACGTTGCGCTGTGACGCTCCCGGGGGCGGGTGGCGCTGCGACGCTGCGACGCTCTGGGGGGCGGGTGGCGCTGCGACGCTGCGACGCTGCGACGCTGGAGCGGCGCTGCGACGCTGTTGGCGCTGCGACGCGGGATCCACGCTGCGACGCTGTTGGCGCTGCGACGCTATATACCTTCTGCCAGAGTGCACACGGCGTGGCGGGTCTGATCTCTTGTGATGCCCAAGGTGCACCCTATTGTACAGGGGCGGTGCGGGGTTGATGTCTTCTGATGCTCAAGACGTAACATAGCGTTCAAAGGGGCGTGGCGGGTCTGATCTCTTGTGATGCTCTAGGTGCAACGTATTGTTCAGAGGGGGTGGCAGGGTTGATCTCTTGTGATATTGAAGATGTAACGTAGTGTTCAAAGGGGTTGCGGGGCTTATTGTCTTGGGATGCTCAAGGTGCGATGTAGTGATCCCAGGGGGTGGCAGGGTTGATCTCTTGTGATGCTGCAGATGCAACATAATGTTGAGAAAGGGTGGCGGGGCTGATGTCTTGTAATGCTTAAGATGCAACGCATTGTTCAGAGGGCGTGGCGGAGCTGATGTCTTGTGAAGACTCCCTAAAGAAACCCTAAAGAACCCCTAAAGAAACCCCTTAAAAAAAAACTTCAAAAAAACCCTTAAGAAACCCTAAAGAAACTCCTCAAGATACCCTAAAGAAACCCTAAAGAGACCCCTAAGAAACCCTGAAAGAAACCCAAAAGAAACCCTAGAAGAAACCCTAAAGAAACCCTAAAGAACCCCTGAAGAAACCCTAGAGAACCCCTAAAGAAACCCCAAAGAAACCCCTAAAGGAACCCTAAAGAAACCCCTAGAGAAACCCTAAACAAACCCTGCAGAAGAAAAAAAACTTAAGAAACCCTGAAGAAACCCCTAAAAAGCCCCTGAAGAAACCCTAAAGAAACCCCTAAAGAAACTCCTCAAGAAACCCCTAAAGAAACTCCTCAAGAACCCCCTAAAGAAACCCTAAAGAAACCCCTAAAGAAACCCCTAAGAAACCCTAAAGAAACCCCTCAAGAACCCCCTAAAGAAACCCTCAAGAAACTCCTCAAGATACCCGAAAGAAACCCTGAAGAACCCCTAAAGAACCCCTAAAGAAACCCTAAAGAACCCCCTAAAGAAACCCTAAAGAAACCCCTAAAGAAACCCTAAATGCAGGAAAAAAGCCTTTAAAAAACCCTTAAGAAACCCTAAAGAACACCCTGAAGAAACCCCTAAAGAAACCCTAAGGAAACGCTGAAGACTCCCTAGCGTGATGCAACATAGTCTTCAGAGGGGATGGCGGGGTTGATGTCTTGTGATGCTCAAGGTGCAACGTATTGTTCAGAGGGAGCGCGGGGCTGATGTCTTGTGATGATGCTCAAGATGCAACATAGTGCTCAGACAAGGTGGCGGGGCTGATGTCTTGAGGGTGGCGGGGCTGATGTCTTGCAATCCTCAAGGGGCGACGTAGTGTTCAGAGGGGGTCGCTGGGTTGATCTTCGAAGATGCAACATAGTGTTCAAAGGGGGTGGCGGGGCTGATGTCTCAAGGTGCAACGTATTGTTCAGAGGGGGTGGGGGAGTTGATGTCTTGTGATGGTGAAGATGCAACATGTGTTCAGAGGGGGTGCCAGGGCTACTGTCTTGTAACCCTGAAAGTGTTCAGAGGGGGTGGCGGGGATGATGTCTTGTAATGCTCAAGGTGCAACGTATTTTTCAGAGGGGGTAAGCGGATTTGATGTCTTGTGATGCTGAAGATGTGACATTTTTGTTTCGGAAGTTTTGGTTGCTGAATCGTGCATTCCGGTTCTTGAGTCGCACGTTTAAGTTTTTGAGTCGGACCTTTTGTCCTTGGGTCGCCTCTCAGTTGGCTTTGGAATCGCGACGCGGTTTTGGTTGCTGAATCGGTCATTTTGGTTTCTACATCGGCCATTTTGGTTTCTTAAATCGGTCATGCTGGTTGCTGAAGCGGGTTTTCTTGATTGTTGAAGCGGTCGACGATCCTTATTCCTTTCATTCATTTCATTCGCGTCATTCGTTGGGCTTCTTGGCTTCTCGGCTTGTCCGGTGGCTTCTCGGCTTCTCGGCTTCTCGGCTTGTCCGGTGGCTTCTCGGCTTCTCGGCTTCTCGGCTTCTCGGCTTGTCCGGTGGCTTCTCGGCTTGCTTGGTGGCTTCTCGGCTTCTCGGCTTCTCGGCTTGCCCGGCGGCTCCTCGGCTTCGCGGCTTCTCGGGCTTCTCGGCTTGCCCGGCGGCTCCTCGGCTTCGCGGCTTCTCGGCTTCTCGGCTTGCCGCTTTCGGCTTCTCGGCTTTCTCGGCTTCTCGGCTTCTCGGCTTCTCGGCTTCTTCTTGCCTGGTGGCTTCTCGGCTTCTCGGCTTCTCGGCTTCTCGGCTTGTCCGGTGGTTTCTCGGCTTCTCGGCTTCTGGTCGCATTTCTGGCTCCCTTTACCCCGTGCATTGAAGTTTTAGTGCAAGTATGTGCAAAGCTTCCTTGTTAAGGCTGTGAACCACTTGAGTGAGAAGCATGCAATAATACAAGGAAGTTTCAAAGAAGCATTACTATGAAGTAGAAGTGTATGTATATCATTTTTTGGACAGAGACAGGTCATGATTCCATGTATGCAATATGCCCGTCCATGTAAGTGAAACAGCTGAACAAAACAAGCATCATGATTGTAAAGAAGTGAAATCGTTCCTTTGAATACACATGTGGTGTACAAAAAATGAGAGTGATGCTTGGCTTCACTTCATTAAAGATAGATTACATTTGTTCACATAGTGTTGTTCTGCAAGAGTGTTGCTTTTCATTTCTGGTGCTATCTTGTCTTCAAGGCAACTATTTTGAAGAAGTGAAGTCTTTCATTTAAGTCGTTCCTTTAAAAGCAAATGCCATGCACAAAAAATGAGAATGAAACTTAACCTCATTGAAGAATGAACTGCATCTTTCCACACATTATAGTTTCTTGCAAAAATATTGTGTCTTGTTTAAGGGAATATCGTGTCTTCAAGGCAGATTGCAACCTGTGAGCAGCATTTTTCTCTGACAGTGACCTTTCTTGTTTCAAGCAATGCTGCAATGTGCATCTACCATTGCAACTTTTGACAGCAATACTGAATGACTGCATACTGTGTAGGAATCTGATGTTTTGAAAGAGATATCGTATGATTGAAGGGAGGCTTAATATTACTACGAAAGGAAGAATGCACTTCTATAGAAAGGAACACTGTATGTTTGGAGGAATGCTCTATATTTCGCGGGGATACTGCTTCTCGTACTGCATTGCCTTGAAGGAAAATTGCAGCTTATGAATGAAAGGTATATTGTGAAATGAAGACATCACTGCCAAGGGAACACTGTATCTATTACATGAAATCCTCAGAATGTGCAGCGATTAAAGGATATCAAAGGGTTGTATTTGCGGCTGTTTGAAAATAGTTTAGCTTACTAGGGTGTAGCTGTAGCTATCTCTCATACTGTCTCATTCCCACCGACCAGGTGTAGTTATTACTGTGTTTTTTTGGCTGGCGGCATCTTCAGAGGATGTTTTTGGCAGAGACATTAGGCATGATGATGTTTATGAAGAATTAGCAATTAGCACCAACAACTTACTGTAAAATTAACAAAGAAGCGCACTCCCATAGTCCCCCGCTCTCAAAACAAACCTGAGGAATAGCATGGAATAGCCTTTGTTCTAGTACTGTTTCGTTTTCCCCTTTATGTGGCTTGAGATTGCTAGCATCTCACCCGCCTTGGCCCCCAAGGGGCTTACCGCAGTACCGGTCAGTCGAAGATCGTAAGTTTCTCTGATCTTATACCTTTTTTGGTGAGCCCTACTTGTGTGCAGCTTTGGGTTCCCGTACTTTGGCAGGTTTTTTCCCCTTCAAAGAAGGTTTTTTCCTGCCTTCAGGATGAAAGCTTACCTGGATTCTGAATTTGATGATGCACAGTTGTGAATATCCCCATGTTTTGCCAGTGATTATATATGTTGCCAATCTTGGCTTCATTTCCCCTTAGTAATTGGCCTTTGTTCTAACCTAGTGCCACGTGTTAAGCGCAAATTGGCCATACAAACACGAGCTTGACATACTTTGGCAACAGTTACAACAGCTTGACACGGATTGATCCCTGATCTGCTCCCATAGAGCTGCCTCGTCTGTGCTGGAAGCACAGCTGGCGGCAGTGCTAGCCTCGGGTTGGAACAGCTGCTGGATGATGCGTGCGCTGCAGAATCTTCAGATTCAGAACAAATATTGGTAGAAGAAAATGCAGAACAATTGTACAGCAAGTGTAGAACATGTCCGGACAAAGTCACACAATTCCCTATGGCACCATGGCATGTCGACCAGCCCCGCATATTCCTAGATCTTCCCAACACCGCACCTCACTAAGGCTGTGGGTCCGTGTGTTTGCAGTGACCTCTGCATCTGTGTGGCGCAAAGCCTCCAAAGTCACGATATCCCCCCCATGCCGTGGCAACCTTTGGTCTGACATCTTTTCAAATCAATTGCAATTGGCCAATAAGTAGCTAATATGCAGCCAATAAGTAGCTAATAATCAGCCTGTAGAGCCTGTGGAGTCAAACTGTTCTGCAGTTCTGTTTCCGAAAGCTCAGCGATTCATGGAGCTGCACCTCCGCAGCAGTTGGTGCCGGCATCCTCTCTTGTCCGATTGGCAAGTGGTCATGGACCTCAGAGACAAGAGTACCACAAGGACTGCAAAACATCTGTATCCGACTGCATCCCTACTCAGGGCGACCGGGTGCGTAAGAGTTTTTCTTCATGTGTGCAACATTTGCAACTAAAGACTTGAAGCAGTTTTGATTTGATTTGTCAGCTCTGTGGAAGATCTATGTGAGTTCTTTGAATTTTTCATGGAGTTCATGGATGTCTATGGAACGTTTCCGCGACTCTTGGTTGACGACATTTCAAAATATCACCAGGTCTTCTCAGACAGATAACAGTTGATTTGTTTATACCTTTGCAATGTCTGGAAAACACGTTCATGAACAAAGAAATTCAAGATGTGCAATATCTCCTCCAAATCCTCCAAGGATCTAATGCAAGATGTAAGATCCATGTTGTGTGAGATCTCTTCCAGGTGCAAGGGTTCTCTTAGGGTTCTCTTATTGTATCTCTTAGAGATTTCATTCAAAGAGCTCCTTTATCGTCACCGCTTGAGTATCTCTTTCGATATTTAAGCTGGCGAATCAACAAATCAATACATCACAGTTGAACACATCAAAGTAATAACAGTATCATTAGTATGTATGTGCAATGTATGTGCATCATTGTGCATCATTATCACTGTTGTTGGATATCTGTTATTGATTTTATGGATGTTTTGGTCGTTATGAGAGCCTAGTAGTTACCGATTTACACCGGTAGTTACCGGTAGTTGAGCTCCTCACCGAGAGCTTACGCCCAGGTCTGGCTGCCGGCTCGCCCCCTGCATGTGGTTCCTGGGATCGCGGCCTGGATCCCTGATTTGGAAGATGTGAATGAAAATTGTGCAAAAATCAATGTAGTTCAGTTGACATTGAAGGCCTTGTCAATCTTGTTCACAAGTAGTTCATAATAAGAAATAAGTAGTTCATATGTTTAATTCATAGGTTTAAAGCTCCGTTTGTTTTCTTCAGTTTTTTCCCACGATGATTTCGCAGAGCTATGCCGCACTGTCGTCTTATGTCGCCCTGGCCCTGATGGCCTCTTTGGCCGCCCTCTGCGGTGGAAACACCAACCCTCAGAGTTTCGTGCAGCTTGTGGTTGTGGAAGTTGTGGAAGCTGGCAGATTAGGCAACAGTTATAACAGTTAGGATGGTTGGGCAAGTTGGGCAGGTTTGCGAAGACACTGCGAAGAACGGGCTTTGCCATTCAGATGTGGACACAGCACTGCTAATCACTGTAACACATGTTTAAACATGTAACACATTGGTGAAGAAGCTGTGAAGACATGTGATTTGAAGAGCAACAACGCTGCAAATCTCCGGATCTCCGCGCTGAGAAACTTCGTATAGAGCTTGAGGCTCCAGCACGAACCTTCATGTTTTTGCAGCCTGGCATAAGTAGCCTGGCGCATGTCTCAACCTTCTGGTCGATTCCTAGGTTTGATACGTGCATCTTGAGACCCATTGGGGCCAGAAGGATGATATTCCGATGTTACATCTTGATCCATCTTGATCCATCTTGATGGATTGCATCGTTCTTGACTGACTCAAGATGATTCAAGCCCGTGATGCACAAACTTTGGCAACAGCCAAAGCTGCATCCCCAACCTGAATGTTTTGCAACAAGCACATCTCCTGCAGCACGATTCCAGCTGTTGGTAAAAAGGGATGCGCCCACGGGATTCACCCAATTTCAAATGAAAATCCTTTTTCAATGCCCAAAAAGATCCAAGAAAATGGCTGGGGTGAGCTTTCTGGCTAAGTGTCAGAATAGTTATTCCAGTTATTTCCACGGAAGTACCAATCATCACAGTCGTCCACACTGTCCTGCATCTCTCCAAGCACACAGTTCAGGTTCCTCGACTCGTCCACGGGATCCTCAAGGATTTGGGCTCAAAAATTGAATTTTGCTAGCCGCCTTCCAAAATCTGCGCGTAAATTTTGCATAAACATATAACATCATATTAACATCATATAACTTTTGCATAACTGTAGAATAACTCCAAAAATCTCTGCATGGCCCCGCCAAGCCGCCTCTCTCCATCTCTCCACTCCCCCGTCCTCCACATGCAGGCGATCGCAATGCCTCTCAGGGAAAACTGCTTGTGGCGCTACTTGATATGGTCGTGCACGGTCTGATGTACGTCTGTACATCTGATTATGTATGATATATATACATATATATTACATGCATATTATGATGTATACATAATATAATATATATATAGATAAATACACTATTACACTGTACTGATATACACACTGTATATTTATTTTGAGATGATGAATTGGTCAAATGGCAGCAGTGCATCCCTCGGCCTTCCCTTCAACTTTTGAAGCACGGTCTCGTTGCTACTAATCCGCTGCCCGAAGCGAACAGAAACGACCTGCCAACATGGCCGGAGATCTCTGGTACAAGCACCCAACATAAAATAAAAATAAATCTAAAAGGAACAGTGTATTGAGCAGAGAAAGGAAGAACAAAAATGCCAAAAGTGTGAGAGGATCTCATCCTAATGACCCCAGCACGGGCAAGATTGTAATTGAATCTTGTGTTTTTCTATCAAATTCTTAAGAGATTCACTACTTGATGTTTCTTAAGAGTTAATTAAAAATGAATGACCAGATACTATTATTCAAACAAGAAAGTGGATAAATGTTCATGCGCTAGACTTTCAGTTTGAAATCGATAGGTTTGCCCTGTGCATTCCTGTGCACGCCGTCTTTGGCTTTCTTCAAAAGTCCGCCAGTTTTTGCAGAAAGCTGATCTTCTAAAGTCCCGTTCTCGCCTCCTTTCCCCAAGAAAACTCCTAGCAAGAGAAGCTGCTGAAATCAAACACAACTCTGGCCCAACTTCGGCAGTTCAAGCTTTGGACCAACAAAGGAAAAAAATGCGAAACAATGCGAAACAATGCGAGACTATGGACCGTACGAACAGATACCGAGTCAGATATCAAATATCAAGTCAGTCAGAGGGTCATCTCCTGGCTGTAGAATTGAAAGAAACGGAGCACCATCTGCCCAAGCGAGAGCGAACCTGACGGCGACCCAGGGGAAGACACAACCAGAAAAAGCAGCCCTTAATGGCCCTGCACAAGAGGCTCAGATGTCTGTAAAAAATCTCTCCACAATCTTCACTCTCCATCTGTCAAAAGATCAAGGTCTACTGCAGGGCGTCCGGACAGTTCCAGGAGCTGCGGGCTGCCTGACAAGGGCCACAAGGGCCACAAGGGCCACAAGGGCCACAAGGGCCACAAGGGCCACAAGGGCCACAAGGGCCACAAGGCCACAAGGCCACAAGGGCCAGAATCAGGGACCCCACCTTGACCTTCTGCTCTACATCGGGGTTCCCATCCTCCTGGCGGACATGGAATTCCTGCAAGTCCCACTGGGCCACTTTGCCAACTGAAAAACGCTTCCGCTTTTCCTGAGACTTGGAGTTCTCCTTAAAAAGTCCAACAGGAAGCATCACGAGCTTGATCTTTGGGTGAACCTGCTCAGATTCACAAGGGACAAAGAAGGTGTGGCGTCTACCTGTTTATTGCACAATATTGCACTAGCAAATATTCATGTGTCTTGTCTGTACTTGGATCGGCCCAACTCAGGGATTCGAGAAACCATAACAGCAACTACATATAGCCCAGCTACAGCCCATTCGAGTTGAAACGGATATGAAACTGCTCATCTCAGTGCAGTGCTTGCAGCGGTTGGTACCAGGCGTGGCACCAGCGATAAACCCGATAAACAGGCTTGTGAGTGCAGATGATAGATGAAGAATGCACAAATCTGTGAGCATCTGCTCCCATCTGATCTCCGGTCACCTGCATGAAGTAGATGGCCATCAAGGTCAGTGCGTAGGACGACAGGTGCGACTGGGATGCACCGCAAACTTCGTGGGCCTCCAACAGAGATGCGGACATCGAATCAAGCAGGAAGCAATGCAGCAAGTCCAAATTGTCCGAACTGTCCGAAGCTGATGCTCCACCGCTCCACAAATCAAATATATATAATTGTATATATATATATGACTAAGCCGACTAAGCACCTAGTGGAGAGAACAATTACCCCTTTGAAATCATCAAATGACAATCTGAGCCCCCTGTAAATAGTTTGCACCACCCCGCTACCACCAAGTCAATCTTACCTTATGTTCCTTCCAGCGCGACGTCTCACATGTCCTGCCTTTGCCCAGAGCTTCACTGTAATCACGAGATCCCGAACCCTTTCATCCAAGCTGGAATATGCCTGGCAGCATCTGGCAGATCATCAGCACCTCCTTCTGACAGTTCAAACACAACGAGAGTTACGAAACAATTGCATATAATTGCATGCAATTGCCATGTTGAAACAGAGCATGTGTCTCAGCAATGTCAAAAAAGCACATCAAAGATGGCTTATTAAAGTCATTGCATACCCACACCCGCCTTGAGAAGCTTTGTATTTTGCAATGGAAGTGTATTGTGGCACGAGAGATCTACCTGCAGTCTCCATTCCCACATTGCTTTCACAGAAGGACTTGCTGCGCTCAGAATTGATCTGCAACTGCAACCCCACACCTATCACTGAGACCCAACCGGATCCAACAGTATTGCTGATATCACTGATATCACGCAGAATTCCAATTTCCAACTTGTGTTTTTTTGGCACTGGAGGACTACACTTCACAACTTTACAAACGAAGAAATGGCACATAGGCTCTGCGCTTTGGTTTCCTTTGCGGCAAACAAAGTATGACTTGACTGCGATTGTAAGCTCCTGGCTTCTAACTCACCCTCAAAACAAAGCTTGAGAATTGGAACTCTAGCATGTAAGACCTGCAAAGGTGGCCCAACATTGACAAGAATTGACAAGAAGTCATTGCGCTGAAACTGTGAATTACGTCTGCTTTGATGTTGAAAAGCGAAGGAACTTTGCGAACCTGCGGTGTCTGTCGGTGTCTGTCGGTGTTTCAGATTCGATCTCACCTCCTGAGCCATGGCGAACTCAGAGTGCTCCCGCAAAAGGGGCGCAAGTCGTTCACCTTAGCGAACAGCAGAACCTGGCAGCATAGCACAGCCGCATTCGGTACCCGTAGAGTGCGTAGAGTGCGTAGAGCCTTAATATGAGATCTTAATGAGATCTCAATGAGCCTTAGATTCTGAATGATTCTGAGCTGGGACGCCGGACTGAGAATTTCTGCTGGCTGCTTTTGCTCTTCCTCGTCCTGGCACCGAATCAAGCAGAATCCACATGTTGACTTTTTCGACTTGGGCCAGTCATTTATGTCATTTCTGTATGCAGAATCCCAACAATCCCGTGGGGGGATTACTTGAAAAAGCTTCTGTCGCAATATTGGCTATTCACCGAGAAACCTACCGTTAGCCTTGAAACCAGCTGGAATGTTGAATCAGACCACCTGAGATTCCCTAGCAGACAGAATAAGGTTTGGCTACAGCTCAGTAATCGAACTGTTAGGAGGCAAGACAACAGAGGGAGGGATATCAGGGGATACAGATACAGAGGCATCCAAGAAATTCCACGGGGAAATTCATGGTTTCATAGTCATCGCCAGTCATCGCCTCATTCTCCTTGAGCTCGTAGCACGTAGCATCCAAATCGGAGAACTGCGCCACGCTAAGCCGCTAAGATGCGAAGCGAAGCATCCCAAGATGGTCCCAAGATGGTCCCAAGATAATCCCAGACCCGTTGCACTGCAAAGACTTGGTCGCAACGGCACCACACCTTCGTGCCAAAGCCGTTGGTAGCGCTGCCAAAAGGGCTCACGCGCCATTTCCGGCCCAAGCGATTTGCAACTGCCTCAGCTTCGTTGTAGATGTGGGATGATGTGGGATGATGCGGAATGATGTAGGACGAGGTTGGATGTGGGACCCAAAAATGTAAACTTGAAATAATTGGAAAATTCTGAGACATTCCACATATTCCAAGACTATGGTGACTAGGGTGACTATGGTGACTAGGGTGACTAGGGTGACTATGGTGCTTGGCTTTCGCTGTGTGCGTTTCCTCAATCCCACCGTGCCTCCAGAGCCTCGATACATCGAGCCATTCGCTGCCTCACCTGGCGCTCCCGCCTTGAACTACAAGTGCTAGGCTATAGTCGGATATAACCGGCTATAGCCGGCTAGGTTCCATGGCTTTCCATGATGAATTTCTGGTTTTCCATTATGGTTTTCCCATTGTGAAACACGTATTCAACACTGCGATGAAGTTTCAATGAGGAAATGCCACCACCTCGTCGGTCATTTCGTACTCATCGAGCCTGCAGCCAGCTAAAGATATCACATGGCATCATGCATTGAATCATGCATCAAATGATTCAAATGCATCGAATGATTCAAATGATTCAAATGATTCAAATGCATCAAGCACTGATCTAAAGCCCTGGTGACCTTCTGCCCCTACTGGCCCCACTGATTTCGACAGAAACTGTTCCCCATGCCACCTGGCTCGGACTTCCTCTTCAATCATTATCTGATTTTGGAGTTGTTGCGGCTGCCTGGTAGTGAGCAAGATTGCAACGACTTGTCCCAGAACTATGTGGTGCTAGGACCTTTTTTTCCGTCCAAACCAGGCAAGTGGTACTTAATAGCTCACAATAACATGCAATAACTAATAAACATCAATACTCACTTGCCCGAGTCCACATGGAACTTCAGAAACAACAGAATGCACTTTTGATTCTCTTTTGATCCGACACTTTGAATATCTTTGCGCCAAAAGATGTGACTCCAAGAATGTGCACCTATTTTGGCGGCCATAGGCCAGGTGTGGTGCTGTGGCAGCTACGACAGCCTGGCGCCCAGCGGAGTTCACTTGGAGCCAAACGCACGGTGCTCATGACGGCTCATGAAGCAGGCAAATCACAGAAACAAATCACAGCTCCAGCGGAAGCAGGGAAGCCATGGGAAGCCATGGGAAGCCATGGGAAGCCATGGGAAGCCATGGGAAGCCATGGGAAGCCTTCATGTGGTGAGACCGTTTTGGATCGTCCCTCACCTCAGCGCCACTCTAGGACTCTAGGGTTGCTATCGCCACGTTTCAAACTCCAAAATGAGGCACAAGGCGCACAAGGCACACAAGGCGCACAAGGAATGAACATGAAAGTCATGCACTTGAGTCACTTGAGGTTACCTCGTTGACAAATGACATCGAACAGCATCGTGATATTGAATAGCGGTAGCTCTAGCAGCTTTAGCATTGGACAGTTTGACCTGCAAACAATCATATGTTCAAATGTACAAGCAAGACTGGAGTGGCATAGGAATAGCAGGCCATAGCACTTTCTGGTCAATTTTAGTCTATCAGTGCTTCCAGACTTCACTAGCATCTTTACACATCAGTAGGTTTTGGCATCTTCCTCTCTGTGAAACAAATTCTGATAGATCCATAAGACACCATCACCACAGCTCTTGACTGAAAGTTGTTGGGAACCCGGCTGCAACTGCCTAGGCAGAAGTTTCAGCCAGAGGCATCAGCACATGTGTGGATCCTTATCACCAAAGCCTTTTTTGTGGTTTTCTATTAATTCTCATTCAACTGATTCCAATGCGTTGATGCTTGACAGGAAGAGAAACAAATAAGGTCCATTTGATCCCCCATTCATGGTGAGATATGGAGGAAAACAGTTGTAAACAAATGGTGAACATCTCTTGAACTTGCATTTTTGCACCCTACAAGCGTCATTTCTGCACTAAGCCATCCTACACTGAGGTCTTACAGATTGCCAACATTTGCCAGCTACATTGTGCTAGGCAAATACTTGCCTGTGCATATAATATATATATAGTGTATATATATATACATTATATTGATTATATATTATATATTATATATAGTGTATATAGTATATATATATATATTATATATATATATTATATTATATATTAAATATATACTATATATATATTATATATTATATATATTATATATATTATAGTGTATTATATTATATATATTATAGTGTATTATATATATTATATATTATATATATTATATATTATATATACTATATATATTATGTACTATATATAATTAATATATATTATATATTATATATATTATATATATTATATATTATATATATTATATATATTATATATATATTATATATATTATATATATTATATATATTATATATATTATATTATTTATTGTATTATATATATTATACATTATATATATTATATATATTATATATTATATATATTATATATATTATATATATTATATATATTATATATATTATATATATTATATATATTATATATATTATATATAATATATATTATATATATTATATATTATATATATATTATATATATTATATATATTATATTGTATATATATATAGTATATATATTATATATTATATATATTATATATTATATATATATATTATATATATAGATATATTATATATGTGAACAAATGAATCCTTGTTCTGGATATCTCTGATTGATGGTACCTTAGTGCTGGAACAGCCGAACCTACCGAAGCATCGCAAGCATCACGCGGTTGTTTTCCTCTCAGCGGGCGCTTGAGCCACAATGGGCGTCCGTTATGGAGTGCAATGTTCATATCATACATGCACCTAGCGCCTGGTTCCCTTTGACACCCCCCATGTCCGTGGCATGCTTCGCGCCACGAACACGAGAGAGGGAACTTTGAATTAGACTCTTTCTGCTACTTGAATTACGCCTATGTACATAAAAACCTGCCATTCGGATCCCCCTTTCCCACATACCCGTCGGGTATAATGGTTCAGGGTTCACCTACTCTTTGGCTGTCGATGCATTGGCGTTTCATCAAGCTGTACAACGCGAATTATTGCTAGCTAACACCTACTTTTCTACGTTGGCTAAGCTCACCACTCACCCGTCGGGAGAAATGGATCGTCTCGCTACCAAAGACTTACAGTGCTAACTAACGAATTCACGTGCACAATGCAGAATCTCGTGCAGATTGGGAATATCAAAAGTTCTGAACCTAAGCGAATTAGTCTAATGCCTCGCTCAGAGTCCACTCAGTTGGTCTTTTCCTGATCATCTGTTCACAAAGACGATACACATCTTATAGACCAGTGATCATGAAGCAGTTGGTTTACTCCTCACGGCGGACTTTCTTCCATTGGGGTGCTGATGGAGGTTTCTCCCATTGTGCCGCACGTTTTGGAGCAGCTTTCGGCGATGAAGGCTTTGCAGACGGCGCCTTCGACGGTTCATGGGATTTTGGCATAGCTTTGGCTTTTGGTGCGCTAGCCGATGAGGATGATGCCGAACCAGTGCCTTCAGGTTTCTGCGAAGGTTGCGCGGGTGGTTTGGTAAACTTGGAAGCTGCAGTGTGCCCAACCGCCTTGAACACTTCGCTCACCACTTCGTCACCAAGAGTTGGAGCCATCTTCATTTTCATTTCGGTCTTCCCCCTTTGCGCTTCAGCCTCAGCCAGCTGGATAGCATATGCCATCTTGCTGACAAAATTTTGTGGTAAGGCAATTCCACACTGTTGGGCTGCAAAGAGCAACTCTACTCTTTGTTCTTTCTCCCTTAGGCTCAGATAGACTGAGAATGCCGGAAGTTCGACGCAGTCGGGGAAGCCGTGGCTCCCGGAACGAAAGAAGGTGTACGACTCGTGCTCTGGGAACGTCCCTTTGAGAAGTCGCCGAAGGAAATTGCTGATTGTCACTCGCATCTCCTGCTTCCCTTGGGCGTCAGCCTGCATTCGGTTCATTGGCATGAGGAAGCCTAGCGATTCTGGAGTGTATCCGGCGCATACCAGAAATTCCATCATCTTCTCATAGATCTCCAAAGTCTTGATGACAGGCATCATCATGTTTCTGGGTCGTCCTGAATACAACTTCTCTCCTTCTGACCATGAATTCCTCTTCGCTTTCTCCTGAAAGAGTTCGTCCAACTCCAGCTCCGTCGGTCGCTTGAGGTTGCCATCCTGGTCTTCTCCTGTATAGGGACAGAAGTCGTCCAGGTCCAGCCGGACTCGCTTGGTCTCTGTCATCATCTCATGGTATTCCTCCGGGGTCATGGTGACTCTTTGTTTGTAATAAAACCGGAACATGGTGATGATCTTTGACATGACTGCGTTGTCGTATAAGTGAGCCGCGGCCTCGGAGACATCATTGTTGATGAGTCCATCTTCTGGCATACCCTTGCTGCCGCTCTCGAGGTTCTTGGTCCACGCTGGAAGTTTGTTAGAGGGTTCATCTTCGGGTTCGATGTCCATTTCGTCGTCGTCATCTTCAACGATTTCATCGTCCTCTTGTTGGGCTTCCTCCTCTTGATCCATTTCCTCATCATCGCCTTCGTTGTAATCGACCTCATCGGGATTGAAGCCATAGTCGTTGGATTCGGACACGTTCTCTTGTGCTTGATTGACCGTATCCTTGAACAATGACTCTTCTTGTCGACGAACTTCTTCATCGAGCTCTTTCTTCGAGGCCTCATCCTCATCATCTTCAGGAGCTTGTAGCCGATATGGACGGATTCCACAACTTTCAAGTTCCGTCCAGCAAACTAGACAAACTGCTAGCTTTGTCGGCGTCTCATTGAGACAGTGAGGACAATGGCGGCAACCTGATGTTTGCACCCTTTTGCGTTCGACTATATAGTCAATCAGCTTGATGCGGGCCATGTATTGTTCTTGTCCACCAGGTTCGATGAGGTTGTCCTCAAATTTGTTGACGATGTTCATGGCATCCATGGCGGTTTCGTCAAACGGTTGGTCTTCGGCGTCGATGCACTGCCTTGCAACCCTCAAGATGGACTCCTTGGTGGCTACCGTTCTTGATTTGACCGTTCCAGACCGAACTACCTGGTCGTCGCCCGACGGGACGAACAACCGGAGCCACGTCTTATGGTTTTGGTCTCTGGGGTCCTGAATCCATCCTCCTTTGATTGCCG